TTTTAAAAAAATATTAACTTACAACTTTTTAGTTGTAATAATATTAATGCTCATTGACCTTTAATCACGCGCATTTTGAGACGAAATTTGATGCAAAAAAACGCCCCCGGGTGGGCTCGAACCACCAACCTTTCGGTTAACAGCCGAACGCGCTAGCCGATTGCGCCACGGAGGCACATGAATCTAGGTCATCGTTCTTTCAAAAATGAAGTACGGTAGATTACACTTGTTCGTGTTTCGTTAAAAAATATTTAAATACATCAATAGTCCGTAAATGTACTACATTACATAATTATCTTACAAGATTTATTCGTATAAAACCAAAATTTATATTCTTATATATTATTTCATATTTACCAAAATTTACATCCTTATATATTTATTTCGCTTTTATTTGATACATAAGGTCTCTTCGCGTTACATGTACTTTTTGCACTCAGCATCTTTGCTTTCTCTCGCTTTAAAGTCCAAATATATATGTATTTATCTTCTTTCAAGTTCAAAAATTTTTAGGGATTTCAAGCGAACAAACCTATAATAAGCGCTGTACGACGAGTGATTTCTATATATATAATAATAATAAATCGATTCAAAGCTAATAAGAGTTAAAGCAGGATGGTGCGCCAATATTAATGTGAAATGATGACTTAACTCCATTTTTCTGTGATGTCTTCTTTATTTAAAATATTGATTGAGAACGTTTTGACTCTCTTTGAAGTCTTCCTCAGCAAACAATCATAATATAATATAGCTTAGTAGTCCAAACACGTTCAACACTCCGAACCATAAATATGGAAAATAGATTTGATTAAATGATGAAATTTTTATAATTAGTGAATTTAAGAATATTTAATGCTTCTTAATATAATTAGAATCCGTTAAGCGTCCACTTCGGACTTAGATACCTATAGAATGACTTTTCTTGATAGATTAATCACTCATTTGCAGTGATCATTTCATTGGAAATTAAAAGATACTCGTAGTCCCAGCTACAATCCCAGAATTTTTCCAATTAAAGAGCTGGTGAAGAAAGATTTGATTAAAAACAAGAAAAATAATGAACTTTAAATAGAAGAGATTGAGCAAGATTTTTTTTAGAAGAAAATGAAGATGATCTTATTTTCTGACAAATGATCAAAGATGCGAAGTACAAATTAAGTGTGAGAAATTAGACTCTGAAAGATCAAGTATGCACATATTCATATGTAAGCGATATAGGTATTTATAATGACAACACAAAGTGTTTTGCAGAAACACAAACATGCTACCTATCATCAGCTCAAATTGATCGTATATTTTCAAATTGATCCTTTGTTCATTCACTCCTTCGAAATCATTTAGATTTTGATTTATTAAAAAGACAAATATATATATATATATATATATACTCT